ACACACGTACAGATACATATTTATATAGAGAGAGATAGATATAGATATATGCATAGTTTTATATCTGGAGTCTAAATTCTATTCCAGTGATCTGTATGTCTACCCTTATGCCAGTACCACATTCTCTTTTTTATTTTAGCTTTATAGTAAGTTTTGAAACTTAAGAATAAGTCTTCCAACTTTGTTGTTGTTCTTCTTCAAGATGGTTTGGTTTCTCTGGGACCCTTTGCAGCTCCATATACATTTGATGATTAGTTTTTCCATTTCTGCCCAAAAGGGCTGTTAGAATTTTGGTAGGGATTGCATTGAATTGGCCAGTCACTTTGGTTATTATTCATTGCTTGCATAGAAAAGTACACCGATTTTTACCGTGTTCATTTCAGATCCTGCAGTTTGGCTGGATTTGTTAATTAGCTCTAGTAGTTTTGCTCTGGATTTTTGGGGATTTTCTGTATATAGGATCTTGTCATCTGTGAAGAAATAATTAGTGATAGTTTGACTTTTTTTCCAAGTTGGGTGCCTTTTCTTTTACTTACCTAATTGCTCTGTTGGTAACTTCTACAATGTTGAAAAATAATGGTGAAAGTAGACTTGTCTTGTTCCTTAACTTCAGTCTTCCATTTCTTTTTTTAAAGAGATTTTTGCCATAAGGTATGTGCGCGCATCGGATAGACAGAAAGTGAGAATCCCCCCTCGGGGTGTGGGGTGGCGACAGGAGAGCCATGCTCCTATTTCTTCTCCTGCATTCTTCTCTTGGGGGGATTTTGCATATGGAAGCATACATGCCTAGCCCAGAACTCCAACCTCAGTTAGCTGCCTGGGAGTCCAGCAACATAACCATTACACCATCTATTGGTCCCAAGTCATCTTCCACTTTATTCCTAGGATAAATGTTGTTCGGTCAAGGTGTATAATCCTTTTAATATCCGTTTGGATTTGGTTTAGTAGTCGTCAGACTTCATCACTCACAAATTTCATGTTTTCAAATTTACCTCCCTGCTATCGTGTAATTGTCACCCCAAAAGGAATATTGCAGAGCATTCTTGGTCGTTCATGAGTGTGTCTAGAGTGGGGAGAACAATGTGTCACCTGACCTGTTCTTAGCTGAGGTTGAACCGAGCACCACACTGCCTTTTATCCTGTCTCAAAAAAAGTTGTCAGAGGATGGAAACAAAAGTGTGAGAAATTTCGACCTTGGGGCTAGTAGCTGGGATTTGACTTTGAACTCTAGAATCTGTTGATGGGATGCCTCAGACAAGTCCCTTAACACTCTGAGCTTTGTTTCCTGTGTCGTAAAATAAATAATATTTACTAGGATCACTTGTTTTCTAAAATTTTTAATATCTTATCTGTGGGAGATATGTGGTAAATACACGCATGCATCAGCAGTGGTTTAATATTAATTAATTTAGCGTTGATGCCAACTCGAGAAAATGTAACTACTATGACTATTAAGAATCAACTCTAGGCCCAGTCTCTACCGTGGAGCTGGAAGCCACATACTGACAACCGTTCAAATCCCTGGCTGGCAGAGTCATTCTGAAACATTCCAGGTGTACGCATGTGTGCCCATGATCCTAGCAAGGTGGAGAACTGGAGGAAGGGGATAGCGTCATGACTGGGTCCTGTGGAGGGTGTATCTCTTTCTATCTCTCTCTCTCTCTCATGTACAGCCATATGCATTTTATTTATAAACAAACAAAAAAAAGAAAAGATAAGAACCACGTCTACTGTTTTGTTGGGGAATTTTGCATATATGTCCATAAGGTATATTAGTATGTAATTTTCTTTTCTTGTGACATCTTTCTCTGGCTTTGGTATCAGAATAGTACAGACCGGGGGCCAGCAGGTGGTGTGGCGGTTAAAGGCACTGGACTCCCAAGTGGCTGACCACGGTTCAAGTCCTGAACCTCGTGTGTTTCTTTCTCACTTTCTCTCTTTCTCTCTCTCTTTCTGTGTCTCTCTCTGGTCAAATTAAAATAAATGAACAAATAAATAAAATTAAATAAAAATAATTCTTTAAAAAAATAAGAGAGTAGTACAGACCTTGTAGAATGAGTTAGAAAGTGTTTCTTCTGTATTTCCGAAGAGTCTGAAAGTACAGTGCAGCTACTTTAAATGTTTGGTTGAGTTCAGCAGTGAAGTCACCTGGTCTTTGGCATTTCTTTGTTGGAAGGTATTGATTCAGTTTCTGTTACAGAAGGTTTTCTGTTTCATTTTGACTGTAGGGAATTTGTGTTTCCAAAGATTTGTCCATTTTATCTATATGTTCCAATTCACTGACTAGCAGTTGTTTAATAGTTCAGATTGTTTCCATTTGGGTCATGTTGGCAGTAATGTCTCCACTTTTCATTTCCGATTTTAGTTCTTTATGTCTTTTCTCTTTTTATTTTTATCAGTACAGCTAAAGATTTGTTCATTTTTATTGAGCTTTTCAAAGAACAAGTTCTTAGTTTCATTGACTTCCTCTGTTTTCCTAGTCTCTATTTTATTTTTCTCCACTCTTGTCTTTATGATTTCCATTCTTCTGCCACTTTTTCGCAGTTTAGTTTACTTTCTTTCTCGTTCTTCAACGTGTGAAGTTAGATTATTGATTTGGAATCTTCCTTCTTTACTGTTTTTTTTTTTTGGAGAGGTTTTTGCTATAGGACGTGTGCGCTTGCCAGACAGACAGAGAGAGACAGAAAGTGAGAAATTACACCCCAGGGGGGATGGCCACGCCGCAGTCCCTTCTCCTCCATTCTTGGGGACGCACGCACATGTGCCTGGCATGAATTTAAACCACCAGGTCTGGGACTCAAACCATGGTCGACTACATGGGAGTCCAGCAACATAGCCATTACGCTAACTGCTGGTCTCATATAATTGTTATATCTTCTTGAGCAATAGGCCTTTGTCTCTTGTAATTGTTTTCGACTTAAAGTCTGTTTTGTCTGATATTAATATAGTCACCCCAACTCTTTTTTTGCTTTTCAAGTTTTTGCCACAGGGCATGTACACTTGCCAAGATAGGTAGAGACAGTGAGAGAGAAATTGAGAAATCACCGGCCAGGGGGATGACCATCCCATAATCACTTTTCCACTCTCCTCCTGGGATTCTGGGCATGCATGCACATGTGCCCAGCATCAGTTTCAGGTTGTCAGGTACAGGACTCAAACCATAGTCAGCCATGTGGTAGTCCTATGCTTTAACCAATATGCAACCTGCTAGGTCCCACTCCAACTCATTTGGTTATTTACACAAAATAACTTTTTCGCCTTTTCACTTTCACCCTTCCTGTGTTTTTGAATCTAAAGTGACTCTATTGTACACATAAGTTAGAACATGTATTTTTTTTAGTTTCTTTTTGCTTTTTTAAGGTTTTTTACCATAGGGTATGTGTACACATGAGAGAGAGAGGGAGAGTAAAATAAAGTCAGATGGGATGGCTATGCCTCAGTCATTCAGGACTTTGGACATGTGTGTATACTTGTCCAGCGTGATTTTCAAGCAGCTGGATCCAAGGATTGAACCACAGTTGGTCATGGTAGGAGTCCAGCACCTTAATCACCACACTACCTGCTTGTCATAGATCATGTTTTTTTGTTTGTTTGTTTGTTTGTTTGTTTGAATCAAATCTGTCAGTTTCTGCCTTTTGTCATAAAAGTTTAACTTCTGTTTCCGGTAATTACTTGGCAAGCTACAGTGGTTAATGCAGTGCTCCATAGTGCTGAAGCCACATGAGAAGATCCCAAGTTTATGTCCTGAGGTTCCCATGAATGAGCTGAGTTTGTTTGTGCCAAGAATTACTGATAAAGACACACTTCCATTTTGCTATTTGTTTTGTCTTACCGTCCTTTCTTCAATTGCTGTCTTTGATGAATTGGTTTTGTTTTGTTTTGTGTGGATGGGGGGTAAATTGTTTGGATTTCCTTTTCATTTCCCTTTGTGGGTGTCTGTGTGTGTGTGTGTGTGATACACACACACATACATATATACATGTTTTTAGGTTTTTGACATAGGGCATGTGCTTCACTAGAGGAAAAGTGAGAAATCACCCTTTCCCCCCAGGGGGGTGATGACCATACATTTTCTTCTCTTCGATACACCCTTTGGCTTTTTGATCATACACACACACATGCTCAACAAGATTTTCAAGCCACTGGGTCCTAGGATCAAATTACGATTGGCCATGTAGGAGTCCAGCATCTGAACCACCACGCCATCTACTGGCCTCTCCTTCTATGTATTCTTTTGGCTATTTTCTTTTTTGTTATACCAGGGATTCTGTTATCATCTTAAATTTCTTAACAGTGTCCTTTTACTTGACACCAACTTAACTTTAATAGCACACAAATGTCTCTCTCAATGCAGCTCTACTGACCCCTCCTTATGTTGCCACAAATGACATTTTTATACATTATGTGCCCAATAACATGAATTTATCTTTTATCTCTCTCTTAAACCATGTACAAAATAAGTAGGTTTACAGCCTCCAGAATAACAGTAACACTGGCGCAGTGGAAATCTTGGGTGTCAAGAGTGACTAAGTCTATCTGTGAGAGTGTTGCCAGGTATGATTGGCATTTGAGTCCCTGAGCAGAGAGAGGAAGGCCCGCCTTCGATGTGGGTGAGCACCGCCCAATCACCGTGCACGCTGAGAGTGTGGGCGGGACAAAGAGAGGAAGTGGAGTTCTGTTTCCGCTCTGTACTCTTCCTTCCTTCCGTAATGTGCTGGTGGTCCCCTTGACTTTCTGCCTACCCTTCCCTGTCTCTCCACTTGGCCTTTACTTTGTTCCTGTTGCCTCCTGGCCTCTGTTTCTTTCCAGCCAGTGGGATGCCAAGTTCTTTCTTCTTTGGGCTCTGAACTGGTACCTCACAGGTGTTTGAGGGCCCTTGGCCCTGTGGCCTTCCAAGGGCTCCGTTCAGGCCCGGGACTGGAACTGCATCCGTTCCCTGCCTCGGAGCTTTCCCAGGGCCCCCTTCAGGCCTTGGATAGGAACTGCACCATCTCCCTGAGAGTCGTCGCGGGACTTCTGTACCTGTGGTGTAAGATAAATCCCTTCTTTTACGTATCTGTGTGTTTTGTTCAATTTCTCCAGAGAACTCTGACCAATACAGCTGGCTTTTATATTTGCGCATGTGTTTGCCACTATCAGAGAGCGTTCTTTGTCAGCTTCAAGTTGTTGTCTAGCATGAGTGTACTTGAAGGACCGTCTCTAGCATTTCTTGCCGATCTCATGCCAGTAAACTCTTTTCAGCTATCACCTACCCGTGGATGTCTTACTTTCTCCCACTTTGCTGAAAGTTGAATATGGAATTATCAGTTGACAGTTTCCTATTTCAGCACTCGATGTCATCCAGGGGCCAGCAGGTGGGCATAGAGGTTAAGGCACTGTGGGATTAAAAAAAAAAAAAAAAAAGATTTCAATCTGAGACTTGTTGAGAGATCTAATATAATATTTAGTTTGTATTGGAGAATGGCTGACCATAGTTCGAGTCTTGGACATGGATGCTTGAAAATCACACCAGGCATGTGTACATACATGCATGCCTCGAACCCCAGGAGGAGTGGAGGAGAGGAAATTGTGGCATGGCAAAAACCTTTAATAGACAGATAAAATAGATAAATAAATAAAATAAATAAACACATCATCCTGTCATTTTCTGGTCTCCATGATTTCGTAGAGGTATGAGAGATTTCTTGTACACGTCTAGTCACATCTCTTGCTGTTTTTGGGATTCACATTGTCTCTTTTGCTCTGATAGTTTGACTATAGTGTATATTGGTGTAAGTCTTTTCCTTCACTATAATGTATATTGGTGTAAGTCTTTTCCTTCCTCCCTCCCTCTTCCTTAATCTCTCTCTCCCTTCCTTCCACAGGGCATGTGTACTTGCCAGGACTGGGGAGGAATAAGGCATCCCCCAGTGGAGACGCATTTATTCATCCTATCAAGATTTTTGGCACACACACATGTTCCTGGTGTGTTTTTCAAACCACTGGGCAGCATTTGAATTGTGGTCAGCCATGTACATAACACCCAAAGCACAACACTCCATCTCTGCCCTACAGGGCTGACCCAATGCATGGGACTTTCTGAGTTTATTCTTCTTGGAACTCATTAACTATCTTAAATTTGTTGTAAATTCATGCCTTAACTCAAATGTGGGTGTTTCGTCCGGTGTTTCTTCAAATAATCTCACTACCTCTTTCTGTTCTCCTTTTAGGATTCTCATCATTTGTTTGTTTGTTTGATGGTATCTCACTAGTCTTAGACGCTGTTCACTTTCCTTCATTTTCTGCTTCAGGCTCAATAATTTTAACTGTCCTCCCTTTAAGTTTGTAGATTTTAGTTTTATATTTGTTCAGATCTGTTGTCGAATCCCTCTAATACATTTTAAATTGTTTTTTAATGTATTTTACAGATAAGTTTTCCTGATTCCTTTAATTTTTTGGCTATATTTAAGACAATTGTTCTATGTTCTTTTGTCTAGTAAACCCAATGTCTAGGCTGCTTCACACCTGGCTTCTGTAAGTTTATTTTGTTCTTCTGGATAAACTACTTTCTTGTGTCTTTAGATTATATGATTTTTCGGTTGTTGAAAATTGGACATTTGGCTGTTTCAGTGTGATATTTCTAGAAATTAGATTTTCTTCTCTCAAGTATTGCTATTTTTTCCTTATTTTAAAATTTTAATTGTCTTTAGTAATTTGTGTTATAGACAAATTTTTCATTTTTAAAATTCTGTAAAGTTTGGCTATAATAGTTTGTGTTACTGATGTCATTCTGGAGAATTCTCCCACCCCCACTATAGTTTTGTTTCCAAATTTTCATAAAATTGTGCACTTATTTTATTCATTGTCTTTATTTTATTTTATTTTTTAAGTTGACCAGAGAGAGAGAGAGAGAGAGAGAGAGTGAGCAAGCTGCCAGGTCTGGGACTTGAACTATAGTCAGCCATGTGAGTGGGAGTCCAGCCACCTTAACCACTACACCACCTGCCGGCCCCTCTGCACTTTTTTAAAGTTGCTTTTTTAGTTTGTATGTCTGAGATGATCAGATTTTGAGTTTTCTTTTTTTTAAATTTTTAATCACTATCATATTTTTCTATAGAAAAAATATGTGGTATTAAGGTAGCTAATAGTTTGGAACAGCTAATGCTGAAGGGAGAATGTTTTCAGTCTATTTAAGTTGAGATACGTATTCCAGCTTACATATTTTTATAAGAACTTTTTGTTTTATTCAAAACACCTTTGATCAAAATTGTATGGCACAAAGCAGCGAAATGTGTTGTCTCATTCTTTTGAATGTCTTGTTAAATGTAGATGCTGTGAAATTTTAAGTTTTTATCTAGTTAGGAATGGAACCTTTTAGCTTCTGCAAGTGAGTGAGAACATAAAGTATTTGTCTTTTCATTTGCCTGGCTTATTTTACCTAGCCTAATTTCCTCTAGGCTTATCGATGTTGCCGTAAATGACAGAATTTCATCCTTTTTTAATGGCTGAATATTTTGGTGTTTATATATATACTTCATTTTCTTTGTCTACTGATTTGTTGGTGGACACTTAGGTTGATTCTGTATCTTGGCTGTTGTGAATCATGCTACAGGGAACATGAGAGTGTAGAAATCTCTGGTATTCTGATTTCTGTTGCTTTGGATCTCAGAACAGTGGAGAGTAGAATGAAAGATACTAGAATCTGAAAAGGGGAGAGGTAAGGGGAGGGTAAAGAGAACTTGGTTGACACATAGGGTAATGCAGTTAGATAAGAGGAATGAGTCCTGGGGTACTAAAATACAGTAGAGTAACCATTGTAGTTGATAACAATCATGTGCGGTTCAAAATAACCTAGAAGGAAGGCTCTCACATGTTCACAACACAAACTAATGATACATGTTCAAAATGATGGGTGTATGTATTGCTTTGATTTGATTATATTACATGTCATATCTGTATTGAGTAGTCCTCCTGTAACCCCTAAACGTGCACTATTAGGTCAATTAAAAATCTTAAGAAAAGTTACTTCAAAACTTCCAAACCTTTATACAATGATTCTTTCCACAAGTCGATATATTGCAAAGCGCATTTACTGAATTTCAAAATTACAATGCATTTTTAAGGTCTGAATATTCCATTTTTACAGTCTGTGGCTTGATTTCATAGGAGTTAATTTCACTGTGTGTTTACTCACAAGCCTTGATTTCATAAATTGTGGTTTGCCAAAAGCTTCACAATTGACTTTTCTCCTCCTCCTTCATTTACCTCTCCTACTTCCTCCTCTTTCTTTTCCTCCTTTTACTCTTCTTTCTTCTCCTTTCTCCTCCTCTTTCTCCCACTTCTCCCCCTACTCCCCACCTCCCCAACCTTCTCTTGAGCTTGCCAGAGGGAGAAGAGTAAGAAAGCACTCCCTCTGGGGAATGGTCACACCACAATCTGTTCTGCCCCTCATTTCGCCCTCTTTTCAGTATTTGGGGCGTGCACGCACATGTACCTGGTGTGTTTCTCAGGTCATCTGGTGTGGAACTTGAATCTGCTCAACCAGCTAATGTGGGATCCAGCTGCCTCAACCACCACATCTTGGGTTGGCTCCCAAACTGACTTTTCAGAGTCTTGATAAAATTTTCTAGCTGAATTTTAAAATTTTTATTCATCATTTTCTCAAAAGAGGGGGCCAGCAGAAGAAGCAAGAGCAGGATGGATCTTCTGTAGAGTCCTCGTGCCATGATGGTCCCCCAGCCTCAGCCAGCCGTAGTCATGGGCGTGTATGCATGTGCCTATACTGCTCAGGGAGGTCCCAGGCTGTGAACCCAGGGCCTTTCCCATGTGTGTCTTGTTGTGTTACCATTCCCCCACTGCCTGGACCCTCCAGCCAATTTTGAACAAGATGCAACCCAAATTTAGAGTTCACACCAAAAAAAAAATAATAAATAAAAAAATAAAATCATGTTTTTGATACTTGAATTGATTTTCAAGATGGCTTCCTGAAGGCTAAACCAGTGAGCTGTAAAAGAGAGAATGCACATCGCCAAGCGGATGCATTTTTAACATTAAATTGCTCTCTATTACAGTGTATTAGTGAAAATCTGTATTTGTATCAGTCATTTTAAGAAATAATATTCTACAACTTTTACCCTTATAATAACATCACGTAGTTAACCTTTTAAGGCAGGATCCAGCAAACCTTCCTTTAAATGGCCAGATAGTAAATACTTTATGCTCCCTGGACCAGAAGTATTTGTTGCACCTGCTCAACTCTTCTGTTGTAACCAGAAAGTAACTATAGACAGTATGTAAACCAGTGCTGTGACTGTGCCAATAAAACTTTATGGACACCAAAAAGGGAATTTCTTATAATGCTTGTAATTTACAAACTATTACTCCTCTTGTGATCTTTTGCCAATCACTGGAAACCGTGCAAACCATTCTTTCCTTGCAGATCAGGCCAGATCCTGGGTTTGGGTGGGTTGGGTGTACACATCATCCTTTGCTGACCCCTTTCTCCATGAATTGAACGAAAGGAATTGCATCACTAATGGAAAGTGATTTTCCATTTGAAAACTGGCACCCCTCACTGCCTGTGAAGTCCTTCCACAACTGAAAAAGCCAATGTCTAACAGATATTGTGTCCCCTTTTATATATGCAGTAGGTCATGTAGTGGAGGGGGAAATGAACACAATTAATGAGGGCAGTCTGTTCACTTGTTTATTTATTTATTTAAATTTTTGCCACAGAGCATGTGCAGCTGCCAGAGACAGAGACAGTGAGAGGGAATGGGAAGTGATAAATCACCCCCCAGGGGATGGCCGCACTGCAGTCCCTCTCCTCCATTTTCCTCTCAGGGTTTTGGGCACACATACATACATGCCTGGCCTGATTTTTAAAGCCGCTAGGTCCAGGACTCGAACAGTGGTCAGCCATGTGGTAGTCCAGAGCCTTAGCCACCACACCACCTGCTGGCACTCGGGCAGCCATCTGATCTAAATGAAGTCATGCTTTGGAAAGGACCGTCAGTGCAGTAATTGTGTAAATGTGAACTCTATAACTGG